GAGAGAGAGAGAGAGAGAGAGAGAGAGATACAGAGTACTAAAGTGGAGAAAGTAAACGTCTAAAAGCTTCTATAAAACAATATAAGTTTCTTACAAAGTTGAATAGAAAAGTTTGATTTCCAGTTATCTGAAGAAACTGAGGTGGAAAAAGTGACTCTCCCTCCGGCTGGCAGAGTATTCTTGCAATGGGTAGCATAGAAGTCTTTGGAGATAGGAAGAGCAACATGGAAAATGATGTTTAGTCAGACTTTAAAAATAGTTGAAAACAGTGACAAAACATGTCACCTGGGTAGAGCAGATAAATGGCTATTGAAGCAGAATAAGATTGAATTTCACTTTCTCCACTGATGTTCCTTTAGATTTTATAGCACTGTTTAAGAATTGTGCATGCATTGGTTAAACTCTGATAAATTTTGTAGTTAAAAACTGTAGGACTGGGGCCAGCAAGATAGCTTAGCAGACAAAAGCACCTGCTTAGGCAAGTGCAGAGACCATGGTTCGATCCCTGGCACCAGGCACCACTTGCTGTGCCAGCCCTGCTCCCAGGGCAGGCTGAGATGGCCACAATCTGAGGCGTGGTGGCGTGCACCTGTAATCCCAGTGCTGGGGAGGCTGAAAGCAGGAGGATCACTATGAGTCCTAGCTGCGTTGCGTGACACTGCAACAACCAAATGCATTAAAGAAAGAAAGAAAGAAAGAAAGAAAGAAAGAAAGAAAGAAAGAAAGAAAGAAAGAAAAAGAAACTAGGATTTTTACTGCCTTAGTATATTTGAAGTCAACTGTGCAGTATTTCATTAACCCAGGGAATTAAAGTTTAGTTGCTGTACACATAGAAACCCGATCTGTGGCTATAACCTGACAGTTTTTGTTCTTAATCATCATGAACTGCAGGAGGGAGAGTGCCTTCGTGCTTCTGTGGAGTCTAGGCTGAGGGATCTTGCAGCTGTCTTCTGTTTTAACTACAGCTACAGCCATTTGCTAAGCTCAGGTAGAGTGTTGTATATGAGTTTGGACCTTATGGAAGAACTATTCCTGCAGAGGGAAAGCATTCTGCTGACAAGAGTTGGGGCATATAAATTCAAATCCCTGCTCTCAGTTGAACTCACTCATTGGACAAGATGTCTTTGTCTTTGTTGAAGGCTGTTTCCTTATTTATTAAATAAGGATAGTAACAAAATCTTCCCGTGTTCCTTATAAACTAAGGAGGCTTAGGTGATAAAATGTTAGTGAAAAGCCTTTGTAAAGTGTGAAAACACTATGCAGATGTAGGAAATTATGACTTCGAATCTGCATTTAGCTTTTCTGAAGAATATAATCTGCCCTTGGGGCTTTTCACCATTAAATTACTGAGTCATTGAAAAGTCAGTTAGTAGTGGGTTTTTTAAATGGAAACGCATGAATGAGTAATTTTATTTTACTATTTAATTAATTTTACTATTTAATTTTAATATTGATTCCAGTGTTTCACACTTTAGTAAACGTGTGAGACCATAGGAAATCCTATGAGATAGTCCATCGCTGTCTCTACAGGGCGCCAGAGGACCCAGATGTTTACCTCTGTCCTGCTCTAGGTATCTGTCTATGTTGTTCTTTCACTGTAATTTTTTCCATGTTTATTTTTTCCTTTTTATTTTAAAGAGAATAGAAAAATAATAGATAAAACATTAGAAACAATACACAATTTAGAAAAAAAAAAGATAAGTTATATTGCACATTTACTGTAATTTTTAGACCTGAGAATTTTGTCATCTTTCTGCCAGAGAATGCTAAAATATTATTCGATATTTATGATAGAATTAATTTTAAATTCCCAATGACTTAATAATTCAAATAGCACTTTAAAATTTGTTTATATAACTACTTTTCTTTGGCCAGAACTTAAGTTTGACTGCTACCTAATCTAATAATTTGGTGATGGGGAAAATTGAGTCAGCAGTGAAATCTCATCTTAAAAGACACATGATATAAATGATCAATTTTGCCTCTATTTCAAATTATAGAAATGACGTTTTGATGGCCAGTTACAAGGTAAAGGTGAGCTATGCATTTGAGAGATGTTTTAGTCCGTGATCAGTCATTAAATAGCCTATGTATCTTAAACATTTAGTAAATTCCATACCATTTAAGATTTTCTATTTCTAGTGAAAATACCATTTATCCTACTTTAATGTAAAGAATTAAAGTAAAAGAAATATCTAGATTGCTGACAACATCAAGATTTCGTTTTATGTCCTCTTAATATTTACTACATTCAGAGAAAGGTCAGAGTGGAGGCCAGATGGCTATTTGTCAGAACATCTTCTCTGGCTTGCAATGTTTTCGTGAGGATAACATGCAGTTCTTACAAGTCTAAGGCCAGAAATGTGCATCTTAGAGCCACTCACTGGGCACTGGTTCTATGTTATGTATCTGTCCCTGCCCAAGGACTTAGTTTCCCTAGGTTTAAATTGAAATTAATACTGTACCCTGCTTTTAAGAGTCCTTTGGAGGAGTGAGTTGGATTAATTATATAAAGCATGTGGCTCAGAATCTTGTCCATAGGAAGTGCTAAAAACACTAGCTGGTATTAGCACGGGTCTGTTAGGAATGCTGTGTGCCTGGAGGCTCAGTAGTACAGTGTGTTTAGGGAGGGTAGTGTGTGGGGGCACATATGTTTTCACTGGTATTTAAATTATAGAATGGCTTGCCTGGACTATGAGTTTTTGTGATTGTTTCTAAAGTTTTGATAATTTTATTTCTATTTTAGTAAGTTGGATAGTATGATTAGTTGAATCAAATAGTTTTTAATATGTGGAGCCTATAAATACATTTAGAAGTTTGAAAAATTGGGTTATAAAAGTAGGTAAATAAACTTTAAGGTAAAGTTCATTTATCTTATAGAAGTTTTCTGCGGTTGTGAAATTATCTAACAACACATGGTTAGGTCTCAACTTAGTGGGTTGTTAGTAATTCTTAACAGTGAAGAAATTTTAGGAAGTTGTTTCATAATTTCTTACTTAGGCTATGGTTTTTTAGTTTACCTTTTTCTATTATCCATTCTGAGAGGTGTGCAGTGGGTGTCTCCTGCACTGAGGAAGGAAGCTGGAGCAGAGCAGAGCACTAGGACAGGCCTACGTTACGTAAGGGTCCCTCCGGTTCTGATGGTGGCAGAAAAAGGTCTCGGTGGTAGTTTAGGTACTATGAGCATCACAGTCACAAGGCTTCAAAATAATTAGTAAATCTGTCCTTGTACAGTAAAATACATTTTCTTGCAAAGAATACTGTTTATCTTAGCTATCCTTATATTTGAAATGTGTTTTTAGGAAATCAGAGTAGCTTGAAATATATCAACACATTGTCATCAAATGTGTTGCAGGAATTTATCATAGGATAATAGAGTTTAATTTTCTTGATATTCTCTCTCATCTGATTGTGCCCTGATGGATTTTCCCCCCTTCCTCCCTTATTCTCCTGTAATTCTGCATAGGTTCACGAAGGATTCCTGGAGAGTAAAGTGTTTATTTTGAACAGTACCAATTCATCAACTCCGTGTGAGAGAGGAAGCGTTGACCTAAGGATATATATGCTTTGCCTCCTTCCATTTATAATGCTTTTGGTCTTCATTCGTGAGCTAAAGAATCTGTTTGTACTTTCATTCTTTGCCAATGTTTCCATGGCTGTCAGTCTTCTGATAATTTATCAATATGTTGTCAGGGTAAGTATGTTTTAAACTAAATTTCATATCTTTTCTATATAATTAAAAGTTTGTTTACTTGGGAGGTGCTAAAGTGATACATAAAGACTCACGCTGCATATATGGCACTTGGCAGATAAACAGTGAACTTGAGCTTTCTGGGAGATGTTTAATTAGCAGAGCATGTGACATGGAGATGACCAGCACAGGCTTTAGAGCCTGGTCTGGCTTCGAATCTTGCAAAATATGTCTGGGCTGTGTGACATTGCTTCCGAAGTAGTAGGAAGGAAGCTGGAGCAGAGCAGAGCAGAGTATTAGGACAGGCCTACGTACGAGTCCCTCCGGTTCCCTATCAGAGTTCTTACGAGATTTAGATTCGTGCTGTTGGTATACTACCTCACGATATGACTTATGCATATTGTTTCTTTAAACTTTCTGTCAGCCACTGGGATGAATGTATATATAATTCTGTAATTTTCTTTTATTTTGAAATTTTTGTTTGCTGCCATGGCTTTAATCCATTGTTACTGCACATGAATTGATTTCATTGTCCATATTCTGGAAATGATTTTGTTTTGTTTTGTTTTTTGAGATGGGTCTAGCTGTATAATTGAGGCTGGCTTTGAGCTTGCTATGTAGCCCATGTTGGCTTTAAACTCATGGTGATTTTCCTGCCTCTGCCTCCTAAGTGCTGAGATTACAGATGTGTGCCACTCCAGGCCATATCCTGGAGATTATTATTATTATTATTTTGTGGCTGGCTTAGCATGCCCTGAGGGCAGGACTGGCAGCATGTGGTGCCAAGGATTGAACCACAGTTGGGGATTGAACCGTGGCCCCTTGGGCTTGCCTAAGCTTGTCTAAGCAGGCACTTTATACCACTGAGCTATCTCGCTGGCCCATATTCTGGAGATTCTTAACTGAGCTACTTTAGAAAACTCTCTTAGGATTCAGGAAATATATATAACCCTTCTATTAGTAGGATTTAGGTTTCTGTATATATTGTAGTTCTTTTTTGTCCTCAGCTGTATTTTACCTTTCAGAGAAGCCAATAACCTAAAAAAGTTGAGAATCCCCATGTTCCCCTGCTCCAATCCATCCTATACATTGCTTCCAAGGTAACTGTTGTGAAGTCTTCATTAACATCTCATCATGGACCCTTACTGTGGCTCTGAGTTTTGGATTGCCCTCTCTCTGGATTCCCAAACATAGATTCTCTCTCATAATGCAAAAGAATGTGAGGAGACAAACAGGGTGATCACACAAGGCTCTCCAGAGCTCAGGACTGCTTAGCTGAGCATGCGAGCCATAGTGGAGTGAAGAGTCCCTATGGTGAGGCACCCGCACGAGCAGCTGCGTGGAGTAGTTTCTTGCTTTCTTCAGATTCTTGAATACCCTCTTTAAAAAAAAATAATTTTATCAAGAAACAAATAGCAATGAGACAGTTTCAAAACTGATTAGTAGGACAGTTTCAGTAATTAATACATTGCACATTGTTGTCTTCTCAGTGGTTATTCATAGTGCAAGATGCAGACATGATATCCTGTCCACAAACACTATTAGGACAAATCTCTCTGTTCACTGAATCAAGAGAAAGCAACTGTATATCTTCCTATTTTGTATATACAGATACAAAATGGTCCTTCATTTGTATCCCCTTTTTTGTTTAGTTTTGTCAGAGATGGGTACTGAATACCCTTTTCCTCTTGAGTCTCGCCTGTGTTTTTGATCATATATCACCTTGATGTCAATGTTCTAGACATGTCTGTTCCCCAAATAAGCCATGTACTTTCATACTTAATTGCTTTGTTTATTTTCTCTCCTTGGCTTTGAATTCTACTTCTAGTTATCTGAGGCAGTAAAAACACCATGGTGAGAAAGTGAGGACTAGACTTGAGGTATTTGAAAAACGTACTTCTTATGGGTCCAGAAATCTTAAAAAAGATGTGCTCTTTGTGAGTCTGTCAAGATTGTAACAATTGCAGCTAAGGCTGTGAGTGAGGGCCCAGTGTAATCAAAGCCAAAGCCAGTTCATACGTAATAAGGGCAGTAGCAACTCTCAGGTCAGATAGTAAACACTGTGACCAGAAAAGGCGTGTGCTACAGAGCAGCAGAGTTGTAAAGCAGAGAAGCCAAAGTGGTGCAGCACAGGTATTTTAGGGAGTTAGAGGAAGGATGATGGGAGGGTGGGAGAATGAACGTGTGAGCACAGGGCTGTGGGTGGTAACTGATTATACAGCTCTTGGCTCACACTGAGTGTGCGCAGGTATTTCCCATTGTAGCAGGAGCCGTACCCAGTGCGCGCAGCCTGGTTCTTGCAGGTGGAAACAGGTAACCAGGAGCATTTCATTTGATGAAATGTGTGAGCAGGAGGGACCCAGCTGCTTTGGCAGTTAAATTCTAACAGCATAGCTATAGTTAATATAAAATGCTGAAAGTTTTTATTGGAAAAAATTCACTCCTATAACACATATTTGGTGTTTTGAAGCTTGGAAGAGTGTGATTTTACTATTTCATTTTAAATCCTTTAAAATAAATAAAGATGTGTAATCTTATTTTTTGCAGAACATGCCAGATCCCCACAACCTCCCAGTAGTGGCTGGTTGGAAAAAATACCCACTGTTTTTTGGTACTGCGGTATTTGCTTTTGAAGGCATAGGAGTGGTAAGAATAGACTTTACTATTATTTTTTAAAGTCTTAAATCAACAAAGATTTATATAGTCAAACTATATACAAAATGGATTTTTAAAATTTTGTGTCTCAACTTTATTACTAAGAACATGCTTTCTAGTTTGGTATGATAGACTTGCAATATAGTTTAGTTTTTCGTCTGAGGGCTTAATTCAGACATATCACTTGGCCTATAATTGTTTTTCCTTTTAAAATAGATTAGGGCTGAGGATATAGCTCAGTGGTACAAGCCCCTGCCTGGCAAGTATAAGGTCCTGATTTCAATTCCCACTATAAATAAATAGATGGATAGATGAATGGATAGATGAATAGATAGATAGATAAAATAGGAAAATTAGAATAGATTACTTTTAACATTTTAGTACAGAAAATTTCAAATCTCTAACACATAGAGAATGGTGCATACAGTGAATTTCTGTGTAAGCACCCCCAGGCTTCAGCAGTTTGTCACATGGACGGTTTATCTCCAGCCCACACACTCAAGCACATGCCAAACATCATGTTTTAAAAACTAGATTGAATGGAACGGAAGCAGTTACAAAGTTGTTACTATGTAAAAGTGAAGTATAAAATTCCCCTTTATGTAAACATCTTAAAGATTTTAAGAGCAGAAATATTTCTATTCAGAATGCTTCCAGTTTATTTATAGCCTAGAATTTGTAGACCTGGAGAAATAGAACATTGAGCTCTGTTGTGTTTGATAGTTGTTTCAGAGCCTCCTGGTTTGGTATGGAAGCAAAACAATTGTAAACATCTATTTACATGAACTCTTGACAAAACAGGTCTGAAAGACAGTTTTATACCACTTTACTTGGGGTTTTGGCCTCTGAATTGTCCTTTAGAGAATTCTCACAAATTCTTACAGCTCTTATTACTACTATAGACGTAACTACACACTTTCATTTGTCTTTGACTATTTAGTTCCAGTTTCTAGTTGATTATTACACTCTTCTAGTGAAAGGTTGCTTCTCTGACGTCTCAAATCCAACAGTTCCGAAGACTGACTTACAGTTTCTCGTCTAAAACAAC